ACGGGAAGGGAAGGGAAGGGAAGGGAAGGGAAGAGAGGCCAGGTGGGGAGAAGCTAACCTGTTGTTTGTGAGCTTCCAGCTGATCGCTTTGCTGCCTTCTCTGCCTCAAACTGCTCGGACATCATGAAACAACTGCTCCTATCCTCTGCCTTCACCTGATACTTGAGCTGCTCCTGCTCCCTCCTACACCTCTCCTCCTCCCTTTCCTCCTCCCGCTGCAATGCAGTCAGAAACGTGTGCGCCCAGTTGTTTCGCTACCTTCTGTCGAAGTACCTCCTCTTCCTTTAACCTCTTCCTCTCCTGCACCTGCGAAGTCGCTCTTGAGCAGAAGGGATGGGACCAGAGGATGGGAAGGGAGGCAGGGAAGGAAAGCTGAGAAATGGCAAGGGAGGAGAACGAAAGGAAAGGGAAGGGAAGGCGAGGGAAGGGGCAGAGAAGGAGGGGAGGGAAGGGTAAATGAGAGAGAGAGGAGGAGTGGAAAAAGGACAGGAGGAAGAACAAAAGAAAGGGCAAGAACTACCTGCTGCCTGAGAGACTCCTTCAGCTCTTCTTGTTTTCGGATCTTCATCGCTCGCTCCTCCTGTTGAGGATCTGACAGCCTCGAGATCGCCGATGGGTCATGAAGAGGAACTGCAGGAAGGGAAGACGAGGGAGCAGGACTGGCAGAGACTGCGGGAGGAGGAGGAGCAGGAGGAGGAGGAGGAGCAGGAGCAGGAGCAGGAGCAGGAGCAGGAGCTTCAAAAGGAACGCTCCTCAAGGCATTTTGCTGAAAGGGATGTGAATGGAGGGGAACGTGACGAATGACGTGTGATTCATCGCTTGTAAGTGATGATGTTGACTGATGGTCTTCCATCTACCATCTTGTCATCGTAACACTTCAAGTAGAGCAGCACGCTCCTCTTCTTACCTGCTCACTGCGTGTTACGGCAGCAAACTCCTCGTCCTGCACATATGATGGTGGTGTAGCTTCATACTCCACGACGATCGGCTGTCTTGGGACAGCTGCCAGGATCAGATCCGCGAGGTTGGCACCCTCGTCGTCGACTTCCTTCCTCCTCCGCTCTCCTGCAGTCTTCCTGCTCGTCTTTGTCGTCCCGTTGCTGTTCCCTCGAAGATCCCTCCTCCCTACCAAGACAGGTCGTCTGCAGGGAGGAATGAGGAGAAGGTCTGGCAGACAAGGAGCAAGCAACCTGTGCGATGCAGACGTCTGTATCATTCGCTCGATCCTCTGAGAGGGAGCAGCAGACGTTTTCTGCCCTCCCGTCTTTGACATCCCTGATCCTCCTCCGAATAGATGCTCCAGCCCTGAAAGAGTTTGAGGAGGAGAAGAGCAGAGCATAAGCAAGTCACCAGGTATGGGAGAGCCTGGAGGTGCGAGGTCATACATCCTGATGAAGTTGAAAGAACACTTAGAAGAAGGTGTTCTGCAGATCAGCACAGCACTTGTTGCAATCTGTTGATGAATTGTTCGTGTTTGTCCAGGAACAGCTTTCTCATTCCCGTGAACATCTCAGTGATCTTCATCGTCTCTCATAGAGATCGCGCTCTCGCCCATGTCCTTCATCGTTCTTCGCCTCCTCCTCCTCCCCCTCAAGAAATTTGTTCCTCCCTTGCGTCATTGTGCGACATCTGGTGCGACATGGCCGTTATTTGATGCGGTATGAGGGCCATGCTTTTTAAAAGCTGAGATGTAAATATTATAAAATATTTTAAATATCCCTCTAAAAGATTTATTAGTCTTCCGCATCATCACTAAAGTCCTATCAAAACATAATTTAAGGCACTAGTGGTACACTTAATAACTGGTTTTACAAGTTAGGCGCTTCGCGGGATGCTACAGAAAGACGACAGAGCAAGAGGCAGGGAGCGGTCGAGAATGTGGCGAGCTGAGGGCATGGCAGAAGATGACGACGTGGCAGAGGACAACGATATGGCAGAGCATGAGCTTGCCTGCAAGCTCATGCTTGTGTTCAGTGAGGAAAGAGAAACTAGGAGAGATTTATAGCGATAGTTGCGATGAGACATACATGGCTGACAAATGCTAGAAGAAAGACAGCAGCATATCAGATGCGAGAAGAAACTGCGAAGTCATGTGTCTTGCGATGATGTGATTTGGTTAAAAGAGGGGTTGTGAGCAAGGAAGTTGACAACAGCAGGCTGCTCAATGCGATGGTTGGAGCACAAAGCTAAGCAAGCGATGTTAGAACGTGAGCAGAGAAGGGAGATAGCTGTGCGGGAGGCAGAGGAGTGAAATCTACTGGATATGAAATACAAGGCTGAGTCGAGAAGGGAAGGTATAACATCCTCACATATTAGCGATAAGATCAGGCCAACAGCATGCAGGGTCTGGATTGATCGAGGTTGCTGGCTCCAGCTGAAGATATTTTTTTAGCAGGGAATGTTTCTGTCTTAGTTGCTGATAGCAACTGGAGTACATCAAGTCAAGACTAGAGCGCTGGAGCTACAAGTGCCTTGCCATACAGGACCGATCCGTTCGATGTCGCTCTCAAGTGGAACTTTCGCGCTGCAGACGCTGGAGCTGAAGCTAGAAGAGTACAAGCGCGATCATCCTGATGGAGCAGCCAACAGCGGCCTTCTCACGCGCGAGCTGGCGGTGTGTCAGCCGCAGGTGCAAGGAGCAAGCAACGCTCTCTTCTTCCCTTGCGGGGCCAGTCAAGACTTTGTGTTTGACCGCCACCTGTCAAGGAGAGACGGTATCCTCGATGATGCAGAGAATCTATCTCAGGTGGTGGAAGACTTCGATGCTGTCATGCTGATCGAGAGATGGGTGGGCAAGGCTGACGGCTGGATCCACTGGCTGTACACGTACCGCAGCATTGCCAAGACCTTCTCTCAGAGCAACCCGGACTATGCGAGTCACATCAACATGCTCAAGTCGACAGTCCACAAGCTGAAGGAGCTCCACACGTTTGTGCTGTCGTGCCTGCAAGACGCCGTGGTGAAGCAGTTCCAAGCCTTGCTGGAGCAGAAGAACAAGGACCAGGCGTGGAACGAGGAGAGACTGTGGGCTATCATCAAGATCCTGGATAAGTTGTTTGTGATCGACGTGCTCAAGGACATGAAGCCCAGCCTCAACAACGACTACTCGAGCTGGAGGAGAGGCCTCCAGGCCCTGACAACGGACAACAGGCAGTTGCTCAACAATGACCTGTTTTGCGATCAAGATCTGTCTCATTACCTTGCAAACAAGTCCAACCTTGTCAAGATGCTCACCGGAAGTATCTTTCGCATCCGTCTTGCCAAGCTCTTCTCGATGAATGTGACGGTGCAGCTGCTGCGCCTCTGCCTCCAAGTTGCGAGGAAGCAGTTCGAGGAGGTCGGATGGTTTGGTCTCAACAGCAGGCACGTCGCGCACAGGGTGATATCCCTCTGTCTTGTGATGCTGGGAGAAGACGCGGCCGAAGTCGCCAGCGTGATGGACGGAAGTAAAGGATACAAAGAGGTCAAGGCCGGGAGCCTGGTGAAAGATGCCGTCGACTTCATCACGTCCTACCCCGTCTGTCCGGTGTTTGGCGACATGACGAGCGAATGCATGAACGTCGTCCGTCTCGCACCCGGCGTGGAAGCGCTTGGGATCAAACTGACGGACGTCCAGGACCTGAGCAAGGGGAAGTCAGAGAAGCTGTCCGAGAGATACTCGATCACAGGCAAGCTGGACATGGCAAGAAGGAACATCTATGCTTCCTGCTGCCAGCTGGAGGAGATGAAAGCTTCATTCTTCCAGTCCAATACCTCGAGAAAGTTCTCCCCCTCGGAGGACCAGGAGATCTACACCAAGGTCGTTGGCTGGTTGCAGATGGTGGAGGAGTGGAAGGAGTGGATCCTGGAGCAGTCGGCCATCAAGTATAGCTGCCCGCAGAAAGATGAGAACGCAGGCTCGGAGATCTATCCGACCGAGGAGGACAAGTTTCAGCAGTACAAGAGAGTGGTCACTAACAACTACTCTGCTACAGACAAGTCCTCCCTTCTCGAGCTCATCTCGATGATCAAGAGCTTCGTGAGCAGCCTGGAGGAGCTCCTGCCCTTCCTCGTCCCAGCCATGGCCAGGACCTGCCACTGGCGCACACAGGAGGTTGTTGTGGGGGCAGTCGGGCAAATGGTCAGAGACCTGCAGGAGAGGGGCAAGAAAGAGATGGCCGAGCTCCTCCTAGTCATACAGCAGTATGCTGCCGACTGGCACGCGTCAGGTGGGCAGGACGGCCGGGCTGTCATCATGCCTCTAACGGCCCGCAAAGACTCTGTCATGTCCCAGCGATCGTCAGGGCCAGGCTATCCTCTCCTCCTCCTCCTCCGATCGATCTGTGGGGTGGTGCTGAGGAGGGCGGAGCAGCGCAAGGGAGGGATGTTCTCAAAGGCGGAGCTGTCAAAGGAGCAGCAGAAGACTCTCAGCATGTGGATGACGGAGAGCCGGTCCTTCCTCACTATGCAGAACCTGCCCGAGTGTCTAGCAAGCCTGTCCGACCTGAGCTCGCTCTACCTCCGCGAGCTCTTCCTCGACATGACTAAGCAGGTGCAATTCCCTGCCTCCATCAACCTGCCCTGGATGTTGTGCTCGTTCCTCCTTGGCACAGAGAAGTTCACCAAGAATCCCATCTCCCACGTCTTCATGCCCCTGCATATCTACGATGACGCTGCTCGCTTCTCCTTGAACGTCCTCCGCAGCAAGCACCTGTTCCTCGAGATCGAGGCGGAGGCTCAAACTTGCCTCGACAAGCTGCTCAGCTCCCTCGCTCGCAAGATCTACGCTCACTATCGCCTCCTCGCCGCCTCCCACCTCTTCCCTGACCTCGTTCCCCCGCACAAGGTGGAGGACAACCCGTTCATGCGCGTTAATCTTAAGGTCAAGCATGTCAAGCTGCTCGGCCGCTCGGTGGACCTCAGCTCGCAGCTGAGCTGGAGGGTGGAAGACCTTCAGCGCACGTCCCTGTGGTACGCTCAGAGCAGGTTCGAAGCGACGGGCCTCAGTGGGATTCTCGAGCTGGAGGCGCTGGTTAGGACAAGTCGGTTTGCGCACGCGTACCTGTCGGAGGACGGACTCCAGCTGACGCCGTTCGAGGAGGTGTGGCAGGACGTTTGCGAGGGGCTGAGGACGGGGCTAGCGGGCAACAGGATCGCTCGCTACTGTGTGGGTCAGATCCGCGCGCACCTGCTGCCGTGCATGTACTTCGAGGAGCGGTCGCGAACGTTCGTGGAGTCGGAGCTGGAGATGGACTACGAGGACACGGAGGGCCACACGGACTCGAGGAAGCAGATGAGGCTGTTGAAGAAGCACCTTGAGAACACTCACCCCGACCTCAAGCGCGACAAGTACGCCCTCCTCTTTGGCTCTCGCTTGGCCACCTCGCGCATCCTCGCTGCGCTCAAGGGCCGGGGGACGTTCGGGCGACAGCACGCGACGGCGATGCTGCAGGTGATGGGAGAGGAGAACGTTTCGCTGCTGCTGGAGGCCTCGACCAACCAGCTGCAGGGGCTGGTGCGGGAGGGCATCATCCCCTACCTCTCTAAGATCGCTGCCGTCGGGCTTGACGCCGACATGAAACTCCCTAGCGCACGAGACTACACGGTAGAGGGAGTGATGGGCTACTTCGAAGACGCCAAGCTCAAGGACGTCGCCTCCTACCCACCCCTCCGCACGGGCGTCATTCAGCAGTTCAGAGAGCTGGGAAACATGCTCTGCTTCGCTGACCTGCTCGACGAGGCCCTCGCTGCTCTGCTCCTCTCTTCCGGCCGGCAGGTCAGGAACTTCGTGCAGAGCAAGACGGAGGCAGTGATCGAGGATAGCGCAAGGAGGCTGCAGACGTCGGGGGTCTTGGGGGAGGAGGCGCAGCTGCAGTCGAAAAGGCTGACAGGAATAGCAGGACACACGAGGTCGGTCTCGGAGCTGTCGGAGCTCTCCTCCAAGCACGTCTCCCTCCTCCACAACGTGCTTGCAAAGCTTGACCAGTTCATCGCCAACGCCAAGTTGACGTGGATGGGAGGGAAGGACTACGACGGTGTGCCAGGAGCCGTGCTGCCTCTCCCCCCCTGGCACCTGCTCTCCTCTTCCTCCAAGGATGTAGAGTTCCACTGGGTCTGGAGCAGCCTGACATTCCTCCTCCTCGTCAAGTCCTGCAGGTCACCGGGCGAGTGGCAGTTCGGGGACGGGCTGCAGTGGGCGGGCTGCGCGATCATGCATCTGCTGCGGCAAGAGCATCGCTACCTCACCTTCTCCATCCCCTCCCACATCCTCAAGGAGGCGCAGCAGGACAGAAACCTGCCAGAGCTGGGGAGCGAGGTTGTCAAACTCTTCCTCCAGCGGGCGGAGACCTTCCTGGGCATCGACAAACAGATCTTCGACCGCCTGCGCGCGGTCTGCCCTCCTCCTCCCAAACCCGCCGTCAAGTTCTTCCCTCCCTCTCAGGACTTCGTCTACTCCCGCCCCAAGGTCTCCATTGACCCTGTAGACGCCGAAGCCCCGCAGCTTGCTCCAACTCGCGCTGCATCGCATGTGGATGGTAACGATCCTGCCGCTTCCTCCTCCCCTCCTCCTCCATCCTCTTCCCTCAGCCTCCTCCACCATCCTCTTCCCTCAGCCTCCTCCTCCGTCCTCTTCCCTCAGCCCTCCTCCTCCCCTCCTCCTCTCTCATTACCCTAAGTGTCTGTCACAGTTGTCAAGTCAAGCGTGCAACCTACGGTCACGGCTCCTTCCCCCCCACCTCCACCACCTCCTCCACTTGCTCCTCCTCCTCCTCTCCACGCTCCTTCTCCTCCCTCGCACACTGAAATATCCCATGTATCGTCCTCGTCTTCCTCCACGGCTCCCTCAACAGAAGTGCGCGACGACTCCTCCTCCATCTCCTCCTCGAGGCAGGCCCCTCCCCCTCCTCTTCGTGCCCCGCCTCCCCCAATCCACGCTCCTCCTCCTTCTATCCATGCCCCTGTATCCCCCGGCCAAGCTCCCCCTCCTCCTCACCCTCCCTCGCCTGGCAAAGAATTCTCTCGTACAGGAAGCAAGTCAGGATCTCCCTCACTCAGGTGACTCGCCCTCCTTCCATCCCTCGCTGCCCATCTTTTTGATCCCCTCTATCCCTTCCTCCCTGTCCTCCTCCTCGTCAACCCGAGACCTCTCTTGCTCGTGCAAACTTGACGGGTCGTCTACAGGAAACCTCCAGCCCCTAGTCATCCTCCTCCTCCTCCTCCTCCTCCTGGTCAGAGCTCGCGAGCCTCCTCCCAGTCCAAGTCGGGCAAACCAAAACCTCCGCCTCCCAAAGGGCCTCCACCATCACGAGACAAGCAGAGCTGAAGTGGAGGAAGGTAGCAGCTGAACTCAGGTGTGGATGGCAATGAATAAAGAGCGAACAACAAGAAGAGGGAGGAGTGGGAGATAAAGGAGGGGAGGAGAAGGGGCGAGAGAGCGTGAAGGAGACAGATTTCATAAGATTGTCGTTGTTCTACAACAAGTTAACGTAACTCACAAGAGCTTTCAGCTGCAGGTTCTTCCTCCTGTTCTACGACACAGGATTATCGCTCACTCCTTTCAGTTTTTTCCTCCTCTTCTCGCCCACAGCTCGGTACAAAGACGTGTATGACGCTGCAAACGCTTCCAGATTGCACTCTCGCTCAACAAACTCCCTCGCCCCTCTAAGATGCAATCAGCACAAGACACATGATAGCACAACGAAGGCATACTGAAAACAAGGCAGAACAGACACAGACATTGACAGGGGAAACACATGACATCGTGACAAAACAGGCACGATGAGAAGTCGCGAGAGACAGACAGGAGAAGAACAAACCTTGCAAGCTCATCTCGGAGCTCTTGAGAGTCAGCCAACACCTCTGACATGCCCCAGGTCAACAACAACATCGACAGCATAACAGGCAAGACCAATTAGAGAAGCTAGTATCTCTTCGTCTTGTACCTTCTCCATCAGAAAGCCGTTCTCGCCATGCCTGCTCCACCCATCAGCCCCTGCCACGTCATCACCTCCTGCACCTGACGAAGGACGGCACTGCCCCCACTGCCGTGCTGATCACCGGAAGCTCCATCGCCATGGCCTCGAGGACGACCCAACCGACACTCTCACCTGCACCGAGTGAGGAGGAGGAGGGAAGTGACTGAGAGCAGCAAATCTCAACACCTGTTGTCGGGTAGGCGAAGATCTGGAGACAAGAACAAAGTCAGAGGAGAGCGATGGGGATGGACGGGAAACACGAACGTCCATGGCGGCAAGGGCAAGCTCGGGTTGTTCAGTTGATCCCATCAGCTCTAGTCTGTCTTGCAGGCCCAAGTTTAATCGCATTCTGAGAGGAAAGGATGTAAGACAAACTCACGCAGGAACTAGCACACGCTCACTCCTCTAGCTTCCTTCGCTCAGGACCATCTCCCCAGAGTCTGCAAGGCATCAAATCAACAAGAAGTAAAGAAAGGAAAACTAGAACAAGTCCGCACGACCAAACGTCCAGATGAAATGGAGAGAAAGAGGCAGCGAAAGAGCAAGAGCGAGAAAGGAAAACATACAGAGTGGAGCAGGAGCAAGAAGCAAGAACTGCCGCACATCAGATGAACGGGGGTTCGAATGAGTGATTATCAGCAAGATCTGACGTAGAGGAAGATCTTTACCGGAACAAGAGATCGTCACGATGCTTGAGGAGGGCCGCAGCTTTTACCTAGAGCATGCCTAGTTAAGTCCTTTGTGGAGCAAGCAAAGAAAAATTTACAAACGTCTCCGGGTCTTTCTCGGGTACAAGACGGCTAAGACGTCTTGAAAACAAGATCAGCGTGACCGTCTATCTCGATCTCAAACTCCAATAACACCACTGTCATCATGTCACAGCCATCACCATCACTGGTTACAGCTTCATCATCAGCAACATCACCAGCATTCAAATTTCACCGAAACTGCATCGTCACAATGATTCTCAGATCAACATCTAACTTCATGGATCTATCCCTATCATCTCACCCAACAATGATTCGATCCGAGCTTCGGGCCTGCAATTTATCAACACCTTTAAGCAGTCACAGAAAGTTTTCACCTCTGCTCTCACTCTTGCAAGTTGAGGAATGGCTAAGTCAAAACGAGACAAGTTCACTCCGGGGTTGATCCGAACAACGAGAGGGACTCTGCTCTGAAAGAAAGCATTCAGTACAAACACTGGAAATGAATCAACAAAGAAGCAGGGGGTGGATCAAAGATCAAACAGAAGCAAGACAACAGGAATCTGTACATGTTGACTTCGTTCTAGTTGAGTCTGAAAACCTTCGATGCTCAAATTGGCATTTTCTGTTCCTCAGAGTCACAATTCACAACCAACAAGCGCCTTTCCTTTCCTGATACGAACTGGAACCCCGAGTCAAGAATGACTTGCTGTTCGCTTGCCTGAGTTACTCCGAGCCTGTTCAAAATATCTTCGTCCACAGAAAAACGCTGGAGATGAAGAAAATCAGAAACGTCTGACTGACTGCCTGACTGCCTGACTGATTGAATGACTGATTGATTGACTGACTGACTGACTGACTGACTGACTGACTGACTGACTGACAGATTGACTGACTGACTGACTGACTGACTGATTGACTGGTTGACTGGTTGACTCACTGACTCACTGACTCACTGACTGGCACAACCAAGAAAGCAATATATGTTCCACTCACTGACATATCAAGTGACTATCTCACTCACAGATCAAACGACTACCTCGCGGAGATTTTCCCTGTGAAGCTCCTCAGTCTCATCGCATTCCACCTGCTCACTGTCAGAATTACTTTCCACTTGCCTGCACCTCACCACAACTACAGAAACTGACAAGTCCACCGTGAAGACATTCCATGCAAGGTTCTGAATCACAGGCAGACCGGCAGCGCTTGCAACTTCGATTCCAAACCTGAGCTTTGACGTTATCCCTCTCCCGATCCGCCTCCACAACTCACGTGCTGAAACTGCCCAGCGCCCCTCCCCCATACCAGACGTGGGCAACATGGTGCTCAGAGAGGAACCGAACCATGTCCTGAGCAGCATCACATCCCATCCTGCTCATACAGACCGACCTCCACCTTCCTGGCTTCCTGATGGCCCGGCAGCAAAGCGCCATGGTGATCGAAGATCGGGAAGAGGACAGCTCGGAGCCCTGGAAGCAGTCAAGAGCAACTTCGAGCATCACCTCGTACCGAAGCTCTCAAACTTGGTCGCCCATCCTCCAAGTCGCTGGTACCTGGCGCGTGCCGCATCAGCCTCACGTGAAGGAGGGATGGCCTTCTCACAGAACCACCGCACCATCGAACTGCTGGTGATCGATGGACAACCAGGTAGTCTCGATCTGCCTGTTTCATTTCATATCTCCCATCCTCCCCCTCCTCACACCCCCTTCTCCTCCCCCTCCTCACACACCCTCTATCGGCTCACCTCTCTACTCCTCCCATGTCCAAGGCATGATGAACGAATGCAATCTTCACCTTGTCCAATGTGCAGGAATCTCAAGAATCTTGTTAGCGAGGAGGAGAGATGACTGAAGGTACCATCTTGCGCGGGAGAGCCCTCCATGGAGCAGACCAGGAGGATGAAGAAGAGCAGCATGTTGGTGGAGCCCATCTTCGCTTTCAGATGACAGGGAAGCAAGTGTCGTGGGGATCTCAACGACGATCAACGAGAAAGTAGACGCCAGCCCATCGCGGGGAGGGAGAAAGACGACGAGAGCTGAAGAGTTTTACATGACCAAGGGGGGGTAGGGGAGGGGGCAAGGGAAGCTGGTACAGGAGGCAAGGGGAGCTGGTACATTGCTCGTAGGGAGGTCGGCGCCCGCCATTCTCTTTCCACGTAGGTTACCAGCTTCATCCGCTCGCAAAGATACCATCCTGGCGACGCCCCGCCACCCTCTAGGAAGGTGAGCTGAGTCGTTATTCTCCGTTACATTTTTGAAACACTTTACTCGGCTGGTCAAACGGCGATGTGGTCAACCAATGATGATGACATGCACGGACTCTCCTGTGTCAGCATGACCTCCTGTCCTCGAAAAGACAACGTTTGATTCCGTTTACGGCTCCTCAGTACGAAAACAGATCTTTCCGGAAAGATAAAAATATATGCTGACAAGAACTCAGTCATCAACTGTGTGGTAAACCACATGATGACCCAGTGGGCCTCCAACCGCTTCAGGTTGCCTCTGTGTCTCCTACCCCTTTTGAACGCACCCCCACCCCGAAGGGAGAAGATTTTGGGATGCCACCCCTACTTTTTCATCCACCCCCAGAAATCGATAGACTTTAGAAATCAAGAAGGTATGGTCGGGGTGAGATAAATACTAATTGTGCTATTATACAATAATGCTATGCTCTGATACATGCGCCTGCGGTCGATAAAAGGTGTGTAAAACTCGGCTATCTTTCCAGGTAGGTGGGGGTCCATACAAGATGGGTAGGGTCAGGGGGTAGCGAAGAAAAGACCGATAGATAAGAGCACGGCCCCAAGAAATCATCTGCTCCTCAACACGCACATACAACACGGAGCAGACAGTACGGTTTGATTTCTGCTCTACGCGAGGAACTCCACGACAATTCAGCGTTGAAATAGGCAGCAGCCTTCCCCTCCATCAAGATTGTTCCGAATTTTAAGAAAGAAATGGCGCCCGAGGCAGCAAGAAAGAGTTTGCTTCGACAGACGTCCATGAAGACAGTTCTCCTGTGTAAGAAACTTGCCAGTCATGCAGCAGCCAGAATCATCGAAAGCAGACAAGATGTAGCTGATGTCCGGAAACAGCAACTCTACGACATGTGGGCCCCTCCAAAGTCAAAGGGAGATGTTGATGGCGACGTATTCTCTAGACAGCTCTACGCCAGAAGCAAAGGGATTATCAGCCTGCTGGGTCTCTCGAAAGTCGCAAACGCAAACAGCGTCAAGAATGAAGCCAGGATGATTTCGGGCTGGTTGGAGGTTCGCAAGAGAGGTCTCTTCAAAGTCTGGTGGGAGATGCGATATTGTGAATTAACAATGTCGGGTGACCTTGTTGTCCGCAAGTCACAAAGCTCCCCTGTGCAGTCATCAACCTCGATCATGGATCTTTATCTGGTACAGGACGAAAAGGATCACTCCGTCATCTGTCTCAAGACATCCGAAGAGTCCTCCAGCGACGTCATTCAGATGAGGATCCCTTCCTACAAGATAAGACAAGACTGGGTCAGCTGTATTCGAACCTGGACCAAAAGAGGTCAGACGAAGTCTGTTGGAGACATCGATGACCTAGCGGCAAGACTGAGCAAAGCTTTCACTGTGCCTTCAAAGCGCACGTTCAGTCTTGACAACTCTTTGCTGGCTCGAAGGCAATCCAATGCTTGAATATCTTCCTCCTATACGGCACACTGACAGTCGGGATGACGATGATGTGGAATGTGTAAATATATAGATTAGGTTGCATTTGTTTGTTATTCTTTGTTTTCACTAAAAACTCTAGTGTTTGAATCAATCCGATCTCAACCAAGAGTACTGTGATTCCTGTCAAGCTGCCGCCGCAACCGTTTTGTCCGAGTGCCGGGGGCCGGTCCTTTGATCGTTATCAGTCAACTTGCCTGATCAGCCCCCGGATGGCTTTCTGGGGAGGGAGCAGGACTTGGAGGAGACTGTAGGAAACGGGAGGGGGGAGGGGGCAGGGGAGCGGGAGAGAGGCAGAGAGAGGCAGGTGGGGTAGGAGGCAGGTATGAAGGTAGTGAGACTGAGGTAAGACGATCAAGGGCCATGGTCGTGGGTTGACCCTCACGTACTGACTATTCCACGAGCAGAGTGGTTGGAAATGGTCACGCAGACCGAGCTTGCGGTGGGGATCGTCCTCCCCATCGTGGGAGGCTTCCTCAACTCTGTGTGGAACCTCCCTGGCAACGTTGCAACGTCGGATATGATCCGAGTGGTGCGAAGACCGGCGGAGGAGAGCGGGTGGTGCTGGGAGCACTTTTGGATGGTATGAGACTTGAAGTATACCTTTCTCTCGCAGAGGGTTGCAGTCGTGGGTTGTCTCCTCTCGTCTTGCTCTCTTATGCAGTCCCTCGCTCGCTCCATTTCATCCTCTCATCGTTCCTCAGGTCAACCAAGGCGTGTCCATTGTGCTCAACCTTGCCTACATCCTCCCTCACCTCGGCGTCGACAACCTCCACCATGCTATCGTATCCTCCAGCAGCTCGGGCCTTGCCGCCATCATCGTCGCGAGCTTCACGTGGGGGTTCGGCACCATCGGCTTCGGGCTCGCGCTCAGACTGGTCGGCATCGGGCTTGGGACGGCTCTGTGCATGTCGGTGATTGTGATCATGGGAGTGGTGTGGGGTTTCATATTCGGAGGAGGAGTCCCGACAGGAGCAGCAGGAGCGCTGATCTTGACCGGAGTTGTAGTAGCCATCATCGGCTTCGGTAGCTGAACTTTCTGGGATATGAACAGATGTAACCTCGAGCAGGCATGCTGGGAAGAGCTGTTCACCTGCGTGAAGTTGGGAGGACCAGGAGGTATTCAATGCTCCTGCTCATGCTCATGCTCATGCTCATGCTCATGCTCATGCTCATGCTCATGCTCCTACTGACTCGCGTCTTGTCCAGGTCAGAAACAAGCGGAGAATCCAAGGTTCGGCTGCCCGGGATAAAATTGGAGGAGCGATGTAACTTGGGTGTAGCAGGAGCATGGGAGCGGGCAAGAGATGAGCTGTGCCAGCACCAACCTGGGTATCGACATGAAGGAGGTGGACGAATCGATGAAGTTTGTGGTCGTCGAGCCCTCCAGCCCAAACTTTCCTGCCTCCTCCAAATCAGCGTTCGCGGTTCGATGAGACGAGGAGGCTAGGAAATGAACTGATCGCTGGATACAGGCGGAGGGAGGAGGTGAAGCAGAGAGGAGGCCAGAGGAGCCAAGAAGGAGAACTCTCTCCCCTCTGCAGTCTGTTGGCTTCTGCATGGTACCTGAGCGACTGTCTTGCTGCTCCTGACTTGCTGGGGAGGTTGCTGGAATCTTTGCGTCAAGCTTGCAGCTTGCGTTTGTGATTGGGGACTCACTCACGCAGCAGCTCCTTGCTCTCGGAGTGAGGACTAGCTCGATCTGACGGCACATACTGACTGCCTCGCAAGATAAGCAAGTTGTTCGCACAAGACGCCATATGGTTGTTTGCTTTTTGTCTCGCAGGTTCGAGTGATAACACTGAAGTTTACACCTCACCATGACTTGCAAAGGAGTTGTGAACTGCAGCTATGCTGGATTCCTCATAACGAGGAAGCAGAATTGGGCAGAGTTTGTGAGGTGGTCAGCAGCTGGAGATATCATCCATGTTCTGAGAGATTCCAACAGGCCAGATGAGCGACTCTTGATATCATGGCGAAACAGCATCTTGTCAGGTGCGAGACTAAGATAGGATCGTTGAGGTGTAAAAGAGGATATTTGCGCTCCTTCAACAACGTTGAGCAAACCGATATGGTCCCAATTGTCACCGAGTATTGATCTTTAGATCTGGTGATAACGATGATGATGACTACATTGATGATGACGAAGACTATGACGATGACGATGACGATGACGATGACGATGACGATGATGACGACCACCACCACGACCACGACCACGACGATGATTTAACTCGTCTTCATATTCGTGCTCGTGTTCGCACTTGTGGTTTTGTTGTAGTAGTAGAGGACGAGCAGGAGAAGGCGCTGGAGCAGAAAAAGGACACGAACATCGAAGACAAGACTTGTTTAAGGACGTTGCTGATGATGAGCAGGGATCGCGTTTTCCTGTCACATTCACCTTTACGGCGCAGCAGCCAAACTTCTCGGAACTCTTGGCCCTGTGAGCGACTGAGCAACTCTTTGCGTCACCTTTGCCTCTCCCAACCCTTTTTATCCCTCCTCCACCACCATCATTCCTCCTCCTCCTCCTCTACCTCCTCTACCTCCTTTTCCTCCTCCTTTTTCTCCTCCTCTTCCTCCTCTTGATTCACCATGCTCTTATCCTCGTGCTCACACCTCCCTCAGGTGATCGCCTGGCCGGTGCTCATGTGCTGCACCATGACCTTCGGGCAGCTCTGGGGTTTCTTCCTCCGCGAGTTCAGACCGGACGATGACGGTCGTCGCATCAACGCATTGGTGACGTTCCCCATCCCCCGTCGCCGCCTCCTCCGCTACCACCAACACCTCCTCCTCCTCCTCCTCCTCCTCCTCCTTTCTCACGCTCTCCTGCTTCACCTCCTCCTCCTGCTCCTCCACCTCATCATCATCATCCTACTCCTACTCCTCCTTACCTTGTTCACACTCTCTGCTGAGCTTCACATCTCAAATTTGTATGTCATCGGTCTCTTCCTCTTCCTTCAGCTCCTTCACTCCTACGCTTCTCCTCTGGCCCTGACCTTCCTCGACAGGGCACCGCCGTCCTCTGCATGGCCATAGTCATGACCTCCAGTGCTGCCGCCGTATGAACGGCAAGTCAAAAGTGAAAGTGAGAAGAGGAGGGTGAGGTTTCAATGTGGTGGATGGCTGGTGTACAGTAATGAAAGTCAAAGTTCTTTCTTCGTCTCCTCTCCCTTGCCCCTCTGTTCCCCTTTCCGTCATTCCTTCCTGTCCTCCTCCTCCTCCTCCTCCTCCACCACCACCACCTCCTCCTTCCTGTTTGCTCGACTCCCTTTCATTCATCATCTCCAGCGGAATCTCTCAATGATTTTGCATCTTTTTTCCTGCTGCCGCTGCTCACTACGCCGTCAAGTTTGAACCGAGCAAATGGCAGCCACATGTGTAGGTTACGAGGGCAGCCGGCTCTTGCTGCCAAGGTCAAACTTGAGGGAATGAATCAGATGGGAGATTGAAAGAATATTGTAAGTCGACATGAGAACAAGTTCGCTTTGAACATTCATCTCCTTCACATACACAAGTAGAAGAGGATCACGATGCTTGAGAGAAAGGGGGCGAGGGAGGAGGAGGGACTAGATCTCTGAGACGATGAGACTACATTGCTGCCTCCCACACTTTTGACTGCGATTGCCGTCTGGGTAACATTCGAGAAATTGCCGTAGCTCGCAAGGAAGTCTGTGTAGAATCTTATCTGCGTGTACACCCCATACCGCCCAGGGGTCGCGCATGCTGGGCCGCTCGTCGGCTCCTCTGACCCCATGCTGAGAACACCAACAACAAAGGAGGTGCTGTTGTAGTAGAAGAAGGCAGGGCCACCTACAAGCTGTCAGCCAGCAGCTCCCACCATCCCTCCTCCTCCTCCTCTTCCTCTTCCTCCTCCTCGATCACTCCTTCTCCTCCTCTTCCTCTCCCACTCCCCTCCCGTCCTCCTCCTCCTCCTCCTCCTCCTCCCAACCCCCTTCTCCCCCTCCTCCTTCACCTGAGTCTCCTTCGCAGCTGTCCTTCTTCCCCTGCCCGTCCACGCACAGCCATACCCACTGAGAGGCCTGCCTGCTCAGCGTCGGGTTGCTGTTCTTGCACGTCTGCTCGGTTGCGATGGGGACGGATACCTGCATGCCGAAGTGAGGGAAGCAGCAGCAGCAGCAGCAGCAGCAGCAGCAGCAGCAGCAAAGATGGAAGCAGAGTCAGCAGAAGCAGCAGCATCTGCCGCAGTAGCGACCTTGTACAGGGCGAAGGGGATCTGAGGGGATTGGTTGGGCTGGATGTTGGCCGTGACCCCATAGCCAGCAAGGAGGATGTCGTTATTGGGGACGAGAAGACCAGGAGGGAGCGAAGTCAACCCGTCGATGCGCGGCAGCTGGTTGTTGATAAGAGACGCCAAGTCCACGGAGACCTGAGGCAGCAGTGAGAGGGAGGAGGACGAGATCCCTCGCGTGCCTCCATCAGCAGCACGTCGTTCTCAAGGGTCCTCGGGTTGAAGTTGGGGTGAAGGACGTAGCGAGTGACTGGAACCTCCAAGCAGGAGGAGGAGCGTGTGTTCCCGTTGCATCCTACATGTTCACTCCATGAGCATCAACCTCAGCCGCGTTTTCAGCCTCACCCACGATGAGCAAGGCGGACGAGGGCAGCATGGGCTTGCCCGTGTTGAAGTCGTAGACGCAGTGAACAGCCGACAAGGCCCAGCTGGTTGCGATGATCTGAGCTGTTCTGGGGGCTGTCAGCCTCGTGCCAAGAGCAGGAGGTCACGTGGGTCACCAGAGAAGAGTAGAGTTAGGAAGGAACTCTACTATCCAGGGGTACTCCTCTCCTGCCAGAGTCCCTCCTATGATGCGAAGATCCTTTTAATCCTTCCTGCCCCATAGCTCTGAAGCAACACAGCCTGCTGTCATCCTCTTCCTCTCCTCTCAACCCCTTGAGCTCACCGTCCAAGAGCGAGGAGGCGCTACGGAGCCAGGACTTGTCGCTTGTGCTCGACTTCCTCGTCTCATGGAGGATGGCTGGGCGCGACTCTGCTTCTGATAGTAGGGCAAGGAGGAAGAAAAGAGCTAGCTCAGAGTAGCATCTGTAGGAGGAGGACCGTGCGGAGGCCATTTACCTGCGTTGAGGTTCAATCCAATAGCAGGACAGCCAAATTGAGTTTGTTCCTCTTTCAGTTTGTTCTACGTCGAGGGTGCCTGCCTTCAGCACATGCTTGCAGCTCTTAGATCGCAAGACTTTCATGTACGACCTGGATCGCATGCTGGCTACATCTGCCTCGAGGGTTGCAAACTCGATCTTCTATCTCGATCCCTTGCACCTCCCAACGTCCTTTCTTCTGTCTTCCTTCCTCAGCCTCAACGCTTCCTCTCTCGTCGCATCCTCTTGCCAGGCCTATCAAGCTCAGCCTTTAACATCCTTGTCCTGACGTCTCTCCCTCTCCTCCATCGTTCGACCTCCTCCCCTTCCCCTCCCTCCCTCCTCCTCCCCCCTCCCGCTGCCATCGTCTTCCCATACACTTCCCCCTTTTTTTGCACGGCCCTAACAACTGATAATTCACCCACGAAGATAAACCCTAGTTCTTTTACTCATCTCAACTCCTCCTCCTCCCCGCTACTCCTCTCCCCTCTCCTCTCTCCTCCCCTCCCGTTCGTTTTCTGACGCGTACCGACCTCAAGAGAGCAGAATTCCATTGGCTGCACAGGGAGGATTTTATGACAACATACCTAGTATAAAAGCTGGATCAGCTTACCTCAGGCTCCACAAGGTCTACGTATTAATAGCAATTCATTGCACTGCTCTGTTGCAGAGGTACAAAATATCATAGTGTGAGACGAAAAGATATTTAAAGAAAGTGCTGACCTTCACCCGTCTCCATGAGGGAGGACTGTGCGTGACTATTTGAAATTGAGTGAATAGCTCCAAAGTAAGCGTATATATACAATCTCACCATGAAAGTTTTGAACACCGACGTCAC